ATTCTCAATATAAATAAATCAGCGTCCGCGCTGCGCTGCGCTGCTCATAAAAAGTTTGTCTTGGGCCAAATGCAATAAGAGCCAACTTTTCTAAGGCGCTGTCCGACAAATCTGGTCCATGCATCAGCGTTGACACTTTCCGTTGACTGCTGAATTTCGCTATTGCCTTTTTGGTGAGTGGCAACAGCAATTGCACAGCATAAACCAAATGGAATGGCGACAAACCAAAAGGAATGAGGAACAAAATAAGGATTCTTGTCCCTTGACGAAAATAGGTTGATGGAAGAAGGGAATGTTAATCCTTACCTTTGGCTACAAAAATTACAAACACTAAAGATATACGTTATTAAATGTCAATATTTAATTTAGCCTAGTTGCATTCATGCTGAAAATAAGCTTTGCATGTCACCTAACTTACAGAGCATCGTTTAAAATTTATTCAAGAACTATGTTTTTTCACAGTTTTGTAAAACCAGCTATTTTTTGCTGAAATTTAGCTAGAAGAATTTAAAATTTGTACAAAAACTAGCTAACTTGGCGGGAAATCAGCTAGAAAATGTCCGAATGAAAACTTTTTAAAGGTGTTAGTCGAATGTTTAATAATTTTTCGTCACAAAATGTGATCGACACTTTTTTTTATTTAAGGAAAAAATAATTTTTTGATAAATAAATAAGAAGTAAATTATGATATCTTGGATTGCTTTCTTGGAAATTTATACGCTTAATACATGTACTGAAATTATAAAGATAGATAGATTCTTAAATATTGTCTGGGTAATAGTGTTAAATTCTTAATATGCCCAATAAGAGAAATCACCATAATAATTACGCAACCAAAAGGTAAACGAGATGACGGCATCCTGCGGATCCCCTGAGCAATCTGCCTTAACCCCTGAGTGCCCCTCTGTGGTCGGTTCGCCCTTTGTCAGCCTTTAACACGTTGACATCTCACGGGGCTGCTCTGCTCAGCTTGCGTTTTCTCGCTGTCAAGCTGCCTCCTGTTATTTGTTGCAATTTAAGTGACTTGGAATTGCAATTTATTGCTGCCGGTCTGAAGGGGAAAATCAGCCAGTACCAGTGCGTCCCTATGCCCGCCCCCATTTCCCCCATTTCCCTCTATAGCCAACGCCTCCCTTTTTTGGGCTGGAAATAAACAAGCTGGGAAAAAAAAGGAAAAGAAGTGAGGCGCCAGAGAAATATGAGAATTTAGTGTAATGTTGTTTTTATTGCAACTTCATGTGCGGAATGCGTAGCAGGGCATTAAAGTGTTGTTGCATACACTTAGCCACCCCCTAAGGGTTCAGGTGTGGGGGATGGCGTACCGGAGATGGCGGAAAAGCCAAGTAAACTTTCCCCGAAGGACGATCAAGTGACGATTTCCGTCTTGGGTTGCAGAAGATTGTTGGATTTCCTTTTAGATTTCTTCTATTTAATGGTTGTACATCTAAGATGCTGGGAATGCATTTGTTTTAACACTGGTTAGCTAATAAGGACTTTCTAAAATGGTAAATATATATAAATATTAACAAATATATATATATAATATAAAAAATCAATGATAATACAAAAATAAGGGTCAAAAGTTGGAATGTCATACATTGTTGAACTCGTCATTTAATTTCCAACCGAATGCCATTCACAGCTTTAAATATTTTACTTTTGCAAATTTTAGCAAAACCTTAACCTTAACAAAAATGCAAAAATTGGCCAAAAATTAATTTTTCAAAAACTCGATTTTTAAAAATCGGTTTTTATATCAAAACAAAGTTAATGTTTCTTAACCGATTGTGGATGGGTAGTATAGGTTGCCAGCTGTACAAAACAGTCACTCTTATGACTATACGTCTTATTTTGGCCAAGTTACAGCAAAAAGAATTTTTGGAATTTAGATTTTTGACAAGTCTTCAAAAACTCAAAAAAAAACGCCTTCAATATCTTTTTTGTATCAAAATCCTGGAAAGTAATGGTCAAAGGATGGAATGTCATACATTGGTGAACTCGTCACTAAATTTCCAATTAAATGGCATTTACAGTTTAAAATTTTTGAATTTTTCAAATTTACGCAAAAAATGGTGATGTACCCCCTTATCAAAAATACAAAAATTGGCCATAAAATTAATTTCTCTAAATCGACCGGGGATTTTTTCATAGTATAAGTATGTGTCATAAGCTGCACAAAACAGTAAATCTTATGGATGTACGACCTATTTTGGCCAAGTTACAACAAAAAACACCCCTAAAAAATGTTTTTTTTTTAACTTACCCAAAAAAACATAATTTTAAGACTTTGTGCTAGTAAACTCTTATATTTTTTTTTAATATAATACAAAATGTTCACTTTTATTTAAGGCTTTATTTTTTTGATTAACCAATCAATTGCTTACAAAACACAAAATAAGAGACAGATAAAGAGAGAAAAATCACTTCTATTATGGACGACCAGAAGTCCATACGCCTTGGACATTTGAAATTTGATTGTTCTTTGTGCCGAGTCCTTTGTCCCTTTCTTTTTTTGCTTTGCGCCCTGAAAGCGATATTGTAAATTTCTTTGTATTTGTCAAGCCAATTGAAAAGTTTGCGACAACTTTGTGTTGATTTAACACCCCCCAGCACACATAAGACAACAAAGTCACAGGGCAGGCTGTCTTTCTGTCCTTCCGTCAATGAAGTGGGAAAAGTTTCTTGGCCAGGACATAAATAAGGAATTGTATGGTAAATGGCCGGCAAGGAAAACAACGTGGAAATAAAGTCGAAACAAGACGGGGAATTATTTGAAAAGAAGATGTGAAACGGAAGATACTATGTTTATGCTATGATTTTCATGTGTTACCAGACGTGTACAATTAATGTACAACTTAGTTTACATGTCTGGCAGCACTGCTAGTATAATTATTTTAGCTGATTATTAGAACTTTTGCCATTGTCAAAGCAAACAGGAAAACTGATTAACAATGAAGATGTAAAGACAAAAATAATAAATGACCTTTAAGGGGCAAGAAGAAATTAATTTCAATTGTTTACTTTTACGACCGGCGCTGCGACCTTATTTATAGCGAGTTATCATTTCAAACATTTGGTCTGAATTCATGGTCATTGATTTTTTTTATTTATCCCATTTCATGAACTCAAATGCGCATCGTATAAACACAGCAAGAGTATGGTGGGTCAGAGTTGGTGGCAAGTGACCACACAGTGATTTACGCTCATGAAATTGAGTTGTGGCGCAAATTATTTATGAACAAAGCGCACACACAGGAATAACAAACAACGGCAAACGAGGATTGTACTATAATGTCCTGGGTCCAGGACAATATGCAGTTGGTGGAATCGGTATCGAAGTCCTTCCCCAGAGGAATGTCCCTTCTGCGGACAGCTTAGACTCGACTCGACTCGAGCCATGACCAACTTTTTGCGCCCCGAAAATAATTTATTAGCGGCAAACGAGCCAAAGTTTTATGAAAATTCAAAAAAACACAGGAACGGGAACACAAAAACAAAAAAATAAAACACAATCACAATCGAAACAAAGGCCAAACAAGTGCAAGTTGAAGTTGAAGTTGAAGTTGAGGTGGAAGAAGTTGATGAAGTACCCAACCCAACATTTCATTGTCAGCCGAGTTTGCCGAATCGTGCGCTTTGTTTAATATTTTCAGACTCTGTCAAAAAGTTCGGGGGGCTCTCGCAATTCGAGTGAACAAATTTATTTACTATCATGTCCACCAATGAGTCGGGAATAATTTTTGGGCATGCTCAATATCTGGATTTGTTTGCTTGGGTATGTATTTATTTACGAAACATGTTTGCACTTGAATTTGCATTTTGTGTATAGTACCTACTTTTAGCCAAAGTAAACATTTTACATTGGAATTTCTAAACAATAATTCACCACAACGTTTCTATTGTTCTTAGAATCTATTATATTTCTACAACTGGATCTTTGCATAAATTAACTAGATTCTATTGTCATTTACTTAACATTGTTTTTATCCGATTCTGAAAAAAATAATAATAAATAAATAAATTAATTTGTAAATTTGTAACATTGAGATATTACTTTTCAGTGTGACTTAATTATATGAAACAATAATCTTGATTTATTTATTTGTTGATAACTGTCATAATTTTACTCTTTGAAAAACTAGCTATTTTGGCGGGAAATCAGCTAGAAAAAGGTAAAATTTGAACAAAAACTAGCTAGCTTGGCGGTAAAATAGCTAAAAAAGTGGTTTTCGAATGTACACATTTTCTAGGAGTATTAGTTATATAATAATTTACAATAAATATTTTCGAACTAAAATTCTTTCGCATCCTTATAGTAAGAGTATCCTTTGTTCGTTGCGTCTTATTTCAACCCAAGTTTCTCTTGTTATTTATTGAATTTGGCACACAATTGCACAGGAGCTTATTTGTCCCATTCCTCTTCCACATTCAATTGCTCTGCCTGATAGTTATGAAGTTAATTCTAGGTGGGTGTTGGTGGGAGGGGGAGGTGTTGTCAAAGTTTTCTTAGACTCGTATTTCTTAAGCCAAAGTGGGAGCTAGGTGCCAATGGCAGTCGCATTACGCATACGACCCGTGCTCTGCCAGGCATTACGTATACGCAGTGCGGGCAGTGCGTTCGATATCATTAGCATTGGCAATTGCATATGGTACTATGATACTGCTTGTATGCTTATTTTTAGAGAAAACAATTTGCGTTGCTTAGCAAAATGCCCTCCGTTTGTCGACTTTGTATGCAAATGAGCAAAACGAAAATTTCTCATGATAATATGCCATTAATGAGCGGCATTATTTCCCCAACTCCCCACTGTGTATGTGTGTGTGTGTGTGTGGTTGTGTGCGATGTGTTGGTTGCGCATTGTATGCCAATTAATTGAACATCGCTTAATGCGAAATATATATAATAATTGCAATAATTAAAACCCGTTTGCAATCAGCCAAGCAGAGCAATTTCAGAAGTGCCCCACACAAAACAATAGCCCAACAATTCTCCAAGTATCTTGAACTACTAAATACTCGACTTTTATTGTAGTCTATGGCTAGGGAGTCTTTGCGATTGAATTTTCTGCTTCCAGTTATCTGCACTACTTCTTTAGCGGTCGGATGAGCATGCGAACGTAGCTGAGCGAGCCACTGGGTCCTGGCAGAAAGGTCTTCCACAGGATGCCCTTGAAGTAGCCAATCTCCTGGCCGTACTTTGACTGGAATGTGCCAAAGAGGTTGCTGCAAGCAAGATGGTTTAAACAGTTGATTAGCAACACATTAACATGTTATTTTATGAATCTATATCATTTTTGTATATATTAATATACATTTTGTTTGTAAATTAAGTTTAAATTATCAGGTGCCTACAGTAATCCCCGAGAGAATTGGGAAACCAGATGAATTAAAATGAAACCAGATGACCACAAGGTATGCCAGGCTGACTAAACAGGTTTACATATAGAAAGCTATTTGGATTTTACAGACCTATTTTATTTACTTGCTTTATAAAATGTTCGTTACAATTTTATGTATACTCTAACTGTCAAATAATTAAAGTTGCATACATATTAAAATTATTAAATTCCAAAGATTGCTCTTCTATATTTTCCTATGCATCTATATTTAATGAACCCTAGAAGGTAAGCTAATATTTTTTATATTTTTTTTTTTAAATTATACTTTAAGTATTTAAAAGATGCAATGAAAACTTAAAAAAAAGTATGAGAATAGCTTTGAACAAAATATAGAAAAAGGCTTAAGCTTGTTATTATATTAAAATTAGTAAGTTCGAAACATAGCTCTGGTCTCGTTTTTATAACTAACTTTATAAAATAATGTAATAAGTCAACATATTTTGCACTCAATTTAAATATTTTTCACTTTGATTTTCATCCGTTTCGATTATTAGTTATTTTAAATTTTAAATTATTAAAATTTCTTTAAATTTTTCATTTGACTATTTTCGGAACTAACTCTAATATCTGAAAATATAATCTAAATTAAGCCTTGTTTAAATTTATATTTATATAAATTCAATAAAATGCATATATTAAATCTAATATATAATATATATTTTAATGTTCTATTGAACTATGGGGTTTTTCTCTGGGTGTAATTCATGTTTGTACCAGTGCAAGTATTTCCTATGGCCTTCCACTCACCTCTCGAAGCACTCTCTGCCGTACCACCAGGCTCCTGCGTGGGTCCTGGCGCAGTTCTGTCCATTGTCGTCGTTATCCTGATCGTAGGTGGTGAACTTCTTGCCCGCGTGGTAGCGCAGCGAGTCGCCGGCATCCCCATGGTAGGCGCCAAGGACGTAGAGCAGATACTTCTCCGATTCGCTGCCAATACTGAAGTGATCGTAGAGGGCGAAGCGCTCCTCCCCGTTCTTGTTCCGCATTATGATGAGCAGCTCGTGGTGCTCGCTGTTCGTCAGCAGGTGCAGCTTGTCCAGGCCGATGAAGAACTCCGAGTTGATGGACCCAAAGCCGCTCTTGTAGTCCTTCCACTCCTTGTTAAACTCCTGGCTGCCATCGAACCGGTAGGCGATGACCATCCAGCCGCCATTCTTCACCTTCTGGTCGCAGCTCGCGAAGAATGGCTCCACGTCCGGCGCAATGCGGATCCGCACCTGGCCGTGCTTCTCGTCGTGGCAATTCCGGGGCGTATCGTCGGTTGGCGTAGCCAGGGGCACCGGAAAGGTCTGCACACTAGCCGGCAATGGGCGGAGCCTAAAAAAATAGGTGTTTTATTTATTTAATAATTTCAAGTGTAACATTTTTTGAGCCTAACAAGTTCTAAAATATTTCGAAAATCAATTTTTTCAAATATATTTAAGTTTCTGTGGCCTAAATAGGCATGACATAAATAAACATGTCAGTCCTTAAGTTTGTTTAAGTATATATAATAAAATAACGTTTTGTAGAAAAATAAATGAATAAAAGACCCTGTACTATTAACGAATGTCTATTAACGAATAGTCTTAAAATAAAATAATATTAAAATTATTACATATATAATCACATTTTTAATATTTAATAAATACTCCTAAGTATAACATTTTCCTTAAGAATTTAAAAGCGCACCCTACGAAGTATAAAATGATTGGTATAAATATTTTAAATTTATCTTAGGATTAATTCATTATTATCATTATTCATTTTTAATTTAATTTATGAATACAAATATTAAAATAACGCTATGTAGAAAAATATATGGATATAGGTCTCCTAAAGGGTCGTCTAAAATATATGTTATTTCCATTTCTTAATGTTATTTAATAAATAGTCTTTCGATTTTATTGGCTTACAATCTGGTGGTGATGAGTCCTGAGTCCTGATTTTTGTACTCCTCAATAAGCTGCTGCAGTTCATTAAGTTCAGTTTTAAGCGTTTGCAGCTCATCGGTCATCAATTGTATGCTTCATTAATGTTTAAATATTGATAAAACAAAATATCTAAATATATATTAAGGCAAACTCACCGAGCAGCTAGGCCACCCAAAGTACTCACCGGACAACTGGCGGTGTCCTGAAATATGGAAATTAATTTTTAAGTAAATTGAATATGAGTACAGTGGTCCAACACACACTTTTTCAGCTAGAAGAAAAGGCTCTGCCGAATTTCTCGTTATTACGGAAAAGTGTTTTCCTGGCAAATTACTGGAGGTGGAATTTGCGGTGGTGCTGAGGCAGGCCAATGCCGTGACGAACGCCTCCAGCGCCATGCCTGTCTAAGTTTTTTTTTTGTATTTATATTTAGATATATATATATATATATTTTCCGATTTCAGCTTTGAATTGTGCCAGCGCGACAACGCAGTTGCAACTGCTCGTCTGGACAACTGACTAAGTAAGTTGAATCACTAGCTCACTGGATTAGTTATTAGCTGTTTATTTATTGGAGATGTCACAAAGTCACTGTGATGCGAAGATCACTGATCCATAAGAATAAACAGAACCTGTTTTTTAACATTTGTCAGGGTTCCTGAAGCTAAAACTTCACTTGACTTTACATATAATTACATTTTAAACGAAACCTGAAGAATAAATAACATAATTAACCTACCAATTAAAATATTCCTTTTTAAACTTAAAGAATAAATAATTTATGTATGTTGTTGGATAAGTATTTATATATTTATTCACTGAGTTTTGTTTTAACCCAAAAATCAAAGGAAATCTCTGCATTGGTAATAAAATATATAAAGACATCGTGACTAAACAAATAATTCGTTTACAAAATAATAAGTTAGTGTGGTATTATTTTTCCCATATTTTAGTTAGTGTTGTTTACTTGCGATCACTTGATGCGAAAGCACTGCCCAACACTGGTCGATTCTGCTTAGCATACCTGTTTCTCAATGCTAATCAATCAAGTGACCTTTGTTTCCATTCGCATTCGCATTCGCATTCGCATTCGCATTGTGGCTAAGATCGGGAGCTAGTCAGTCTGTTAGTCAGTTAGTTAGTCGGTTAGATAGGTGGCCAGTGATCGGCAGTGGGAAAATGTCGCAGATTTTGCAGCTGGACGCCTTGGTCATGGCCATGGCCTGTCTTTCCACCACGCAAACGGATCTGGGCGGAGGTCTGATGGTGCCGCCCTCGCTGGAAAATGCGGTGAGTTTCCCAAGAATCTGGGAAAATTCCCTCAACTTTGAACTGTATTTGCAAGGGAAAAATCAAACCAGTTTCTCGTAGTTAAATTACAGATTTGCATACGTACAAACTAGTATAAGCTGTATTCCCCATTAAAAGTGTATATAGTTTACAATTCAATAGAATAAATACAGATTAAAAATACAAAATATTGATGCATATTTTACGGTGTTAATAGCTAATACCTTGATTAGGATTTATTTGCATTGTTGTGCTAAAAGTGTATATAAAAGAAAGATTTAATTTAAAGGTTTGGTTTAAAAATATAATAAATCATTTTACGGTTTTTGTTATGGAGTTTAATTTGCATTGCAATGCTTACAATTCCCTTTCCTTTAAAGTAAAACCATTTAAAATTTCTATATAAAGTAGGAAATTTTCGTAACTGAAAGTAGAATGTTATAATCCATTCAAGAACTTTCTAACCACTACCTTGATTTAAGTATAAACATTTCAACTCACAATCAAAACCATTTGAAGTTGACAATCCTTTTAAAAGTATTTTAATTGATGTGATTTATGCCCTCAAGAGCGCCAGTAGTTGTCCTGTTTCGGCCTTGAGTGGACTGACCACTCGCCTGCAGTCGCTGAGCAGGGAGATATCCGGCGTGAAGGACCAGATAGGCAGTCTGCAAGAGCAGTTGGTGGATCTGCGGAGGACAGGAGGTCCTCCGGCCGTGGCACTCGCCTCGCCCAGTGCCCTGGGCTCCCGACTGTGGGTATATTGTGGTGGCTTTAACAACCCAAATAATAATTCACAGAGACTTAAACCCCGACAGCCAGGACTTTGAGCCTCAATTGCTGGCCAGTGGCGGTGCTCCACCTGCACCAAGTACGCCCGCAAATTGCGTGAAACAGCAGCACGGAGTGGTGCTCATCCGCCTGAGATCGAATGTGGAGCCCTTCTTCGTGTTCTGCGATCAGAAGGTCAGAGGTGGTGGCTGGACCATGGTGGTCAACCGGTACGACGGCAAGGAGGACTTCAATCGCAAGTGGGCCGAGTACCAGTTCGGCTTTGGCACCCTCACCACCGAGTTCTTCATTGGCCTGGACAAGCTGCACCAGATCACCAGCAGCGACAACTACGAGCTGCTGGTCCAGCTGCAGAATCGCAAGCAGGAGTTTCGCTACGCCCTCTACGATCACTTCAGCATCGGCAGCGAGTCGGAGCAGTACCGCCTGAATGTGCTGGGCAAGTACCAGGGCGATGCCGCCGACGCACTGCGTCAGCACGTGGGCAAGAAGTTCAGCACCCAGGATCGGGACAACGATGAGAGCGAGCTGAACTGCGCCGTGCAACAGTCGGCTGCCTTTTGGTACGGCGCCTCCTGCAATCTCAGGTGGGTTTCCATTTCATTTGCTACATTACAACTAAGGAATAAGCATTTGCAAAGAAGCTAGCCGTGACAGTATTTCAGCGTGTTTTTTTTAGAAAATCTACCTCAAAGTTAACAATAACTCGAAGAACAATTAAGTTCATTCATAAACAGCAAAGTTATCAACTTAAAAATTAGCTTTTCCATTTAATTCTATTGGAACCCTGGGTCACAATTATGGCTATACGTCTAGTCTTGGCCAAGTTACAACAAAAGGACTCTTAAGAATTTTGATTTTTGACAAGTCTCCAAAAACCCAGATAATGCGAAAATTGGCCAAAATTTTTAAAAATCATCTTTTCCTCTAAAACAAAATGTATTATTCTAACCTGATTGTGGATGGGTAGTACAGGTTGCCAGCTGTGCAAAACCGTCACTCTTATGCCTATACATCTACTTTTGGCCAAGTTACAAGATAAAAAAAAATAGAAATTGGTAATATAAGATTTTCTGTGAAATGCAGATTATTAAATTTTCCTATTTCCAAATACCAAAACAATTAACAATAAAATCGCCAAACAATTACTATTTAAATAAATGCTAAGCCATTTAAAGTTTTAAATACATAATAAGCCTATGATAAACATCGTAATTGTTCTTACCCTTCTTTTTCTTGCAGTAACCCCTTTGGACTTTTTCAACAACTTCTCGAAAGAGATTATGATGGTTTCAAGGGCATTTTGTGGCGCGGTTTTCTGGATGGACCCAAGGGCTCTCTGAAAATTTTCCGCATGATGGTGCGACCCCGCGCTAGTTAATAAATAAGTATGTAGTTTATTTCATTGGTTACACCAGTCACACATTAACAAAATACCCAAAAGGCTTATAAAAGAAAACAAAACAGAAAAAAAAACAAACAAAATATAAAATAAATTCGATTTAGATTTCGTTGAGCTTTTCAGTCTCTTCGGTGGTTGTGGTGGTGCGAACGGTGGTGGTTGTGGTGGGATCCTCGGAACCCTTCACCACCAGGGCATCTCCAAAAACTGGCTTGAAGAAAAGCACAAAGCGGGAGTACCGACGAGCGGAGTTCTGCAAGGGATTTGATTTTATAAAATATGAATGTATTAAAGAAAATTTAATGAATGCTTATTTTCTAGAAGCGCTTTTATATATTTTCAAGAAAATAAGTTTATAGTATTAATAAAATTTAATATAGGCATATTTCTGGGAAAAATACCTATTCTTAATTTTTCTTCTGATTTTACATTAAATGATAAAATTAAATTTATAAATAAAAAATACCAGTTTAAAAACCTAATACTAGAAATAAAACTAATATGAATTCCATTTCTTTTCTTCAAAAAATAATCTATAGTTTTAAATAAGAAACAAGAAAGAAAGCAAACTTCGGCAAGCCGAAGTTCATATACCCTTGCAGCTATCGCAAGAATTAAATATTTTTGAAAACATTAAAATTATGATTTACTTGCGTATGTGTTTAAAAACATTGAAGCTATGACGATTTGCAGCTTAATTATTTGATTGTTCTTTTATATATTTTTATTATTTGTATGCGAGCTATATGATATAGTCGTCCGATTTTGATGAAACTTAAACCATAATTCTGAAATATTTAACCATTGCTCTATGTCGAAGAACAAAACAAAAAATTAAAAAACAGCAAAGTTATAATTTTTTTCAATTATTTTTCCGATTGTTCCTATGGGAGCTATATGCTATAGTCGTCCGATTTTGATGAAATTTTAACCATAATTCTGAAATATTTAACCATTGCTTTATGTCGAAGAACAAAACAAAAAATTAAAAAACAGCAAAGTTATAATTTTTTTTCAATTATTTTTCCGATTGTTCCTATGGGAGCTATATGCTATAGTCGTCCGATTTTGATTAAATTTAAACCATAATTCTGAATTATTTAACCATTGCTATATGTCGAAGAACTAAACAAAAAATTAAAAAAAAACAAAGTTATAATTTTTTTTCAATTATTTTTCCGATTGTTCCTATGGGAGCTATATGCTATAGTCGTCCGATCCGGCTCGTTCCGACTTATATACTACCTGCAATAGAAAGACAACTTTTGGGAAAGTTTCATGCAGATAGCTTTAAAACTGAGAGACTAGTTTGCATATAAACGGACGGACAGACGGACAGACGGACAGACGGACGGACAGACGGACATGGCTAGATCGACTCTGCTAGTGATGCTGATCAAGAATATATATACTTTATAGGGTCGGAAACGTCTCCTTCACTGCGTTGCAAACTTCTGACTGAAATTATAATACCCTCTGCAAGGGTATAAAAAGTGTTACTTTTAGATATATGAGAGATATATATCAAATTATATTTTAAAATGTATACGTTTCTGGATAAAACTTTTTCCATGTTTTCCATTGAAAATCTCTGAATAAAAATCTGCAATAAAATCCAGAGAATGCCATTACTTACCAGGATCAGTCGAGATAGAGACTTTGAGATATTGGTGACCGTCAGCAGGGACTTGTTGAGCAGCTCCGAAGGCAGTTCCAGCGAGGCATCGCTCATGATTTCGGCGGCATCGCTCAGGTCTTTGCCCCCCGCCCGACGACGCCTCTTGCTCTGTGAGATAAACATATATATATATAGATAAGCGATGAGAGTTCCAAATCGAAGACCCAATATCCAAAATCCAAAATCCAAAACTCCAAATCTAAAAACCCTCCATTGAAACCAGATGTGTGGTATAAATTTGTTTTTTGTTTTCGGTTTTATTCGCTTTTGTAAAGTCGTGGATTTCTCTATATAAATGTATAGTGTATTTTTTTTTGTTTATGCCGAATATTTACAAACATGAAACTTAACTAGGGTGTAAACAAAAAAAAATAAAAACGATTTGAGGGGGTTGAAAGATGGGGGGTAACAAATAGATCAACGATAAATTACAGCTCTCATTTGTTGGCCTTGGTTCGTTGGTGCGTATTTTTTTGTTTTTTTGTTTGTGTCTAGTAGCCCGCCTCATCGGAGTCCGGAGCTGGTGACGTCACGCCGGCAATGCCATTCACTCCACCAGAGGATCCCTGCAGGATGGGGCCGGAAAAGCCAAGGAACTTGGACACCACATTGCCGAGGCCGGCATTCGCATTGCCACCGCCCGACGAGGAGCCACTGAAAGCGGTAATGGTGGTCAGCACACCGGTGGTCAGGTCATTGGCTATGTTGCCAATCGAACGGATTTTCGGCGACACCACAGCGGTGATCAGAGTCTGAAAATCCTTGATCGGCACCGGCGACTTGATGTCCCACTGCTTGTTCTTCTCAATATTCGATCGGTCCAGCTGCTCGATCACCCGCGTCTTCGTGTCCAGGAAATTGTCGATTTTCTACACATATATATATATATATATATTTTTTTTTTTTAGATTTATTTTGAACTATATTTGTGAAGTCAAATTGCAGTACTCACGCCAAATACAAAGCCGAGCACAGCGTTCTTAGCCTCGAATGTGGCTTCGGGCAGTTTTCTTTTGTTGCGCTCCTGGACACCTAACACCTCCTGGAAATGGAAATCGAAGTGGAAAATACAGAATCACCCACACGGGAATGGCACTCTAAATGCCAATAAAACATTTTTCCTCATTTGTTTTGTCTTTAAAGCAAAACGGGTAAAAAAAGGGTAGTTAATCCAAATATTTACATTTTTTTTGCTTTGATTAACGTTAACTAACTAACGTTAAAGTTCATTTTAAAAATTTGTAATTGAAATTGGAAATTGATTTAAATGTCTGAAAACTTTATTTAAATTTAAACAAAATTTAAATTAAATAAAAAGCTTTTAAATCAAATAGCAAATATTTTTTACCTAATGTTTTGCAAATGATTTGAAATGAACATTTTTGAAAATTCAAATCTGCTCTAAATTATGAATTATATGAAAATCATAATATTTCTTTAGGAAGTTTTATATTGCTTTTAAAGCTTTTTCTTGCTTAAATATAGTAATTTCGTGCGGAGTTTCCGAATTCTACTGAGACTATAAAACAGAGTTTAAGAAATAGTATAAATACTCATTTCTTGCAGTCATGTCTTATGTCGCCTAATTGCCGATCAGACATTTTCGGACTTGTCCGGCTCTAATCGATTGGATTCTTTGCCTAATTACACCCAGATTGGTGAGTACTGCCAGTGCTGACTTCAAGTTTAATTGCTGCCAAAGAGCGGGTAAAAAAGCACTCGACACTGGGGGCCAGTTAGACTTGACCCAATTTTCGGGGCTGGGGCCTAAGAAAAAATTAGAAAAAAAAAAACAGAAAACAAAAAAAACACTCATGCACATACATAAGTAATTATATCAGTTGTGGACTTGGGGACCTTCGCTCATTCGGTCATTCTAAGCCGACTATCGTCTATCGCCACACGTATATGTGGCACTTTGGGACCGCTTCTCAATCGACCGCCGCTGGTCCAAAGCACTTAAAATTCACCTCGTCATTTGGTCAATATATATGCACCGCGATATCGGAGCCGAAATCAACACATTTCCAACCAAAACGCATAGTCCAGTCCCTCGGAATCGAATTTCGAACTTGAGTGTTTTGTTTTAATGCATTGCTTCTCAAAGTTGCAATTTTACGACCTTTTTATATAATACGATAATATCTTTTGAGCGTCTTATTATGCCATGAAATATCTTGATTTGGATATTAAATTTTCTATATATAATATAAACAATATTACAACATTAAGCATAGATCTTTTAATTCTCAAAGTCAAAGGCACAAAATATGTATAAACAAGCTATTGAAACATTTGGCAAAATTTTTTTAAAGTCTCAGTGCGACAAGGCAACGACAGTTAATCAGCTTGAAAACGTTTAACAAAAATTCGCCTTCAACCCACAGATTTCGATCTTAACTAATATCTTGAAAATTATGCAACTCATTTGGCGTTTTCGGTTCATTGTTCTGCCATTCTCCCACTTGAGAGTTTTTGAGAGATTGCCCAACTCGAAAACGCCTAGAGCAGTCCACATGGTCTGTTTTCTGTTTTCAGTATTTTTTTTGGGGGGTTTCGAGAAGCTAAATAAACTAGGCGATTTATTAGTTTAACAAAACGCTAAACACATTACGCTCTACTCCACACCTTTTGTTTTTTGGTCCGTTGAAGTGACAAACAAAAAGCGTGAGCTATGATTTATATGGAGCAAAATCAGGTCAGTTGTTGAAAGCCGAACAAGCAGTTAAGCGAAGGGATTTACAACAAGTTTAACTACTACTTCAATGGAAAAGTGGGAAAATGTTGGCTTAGATAATGCTTAGTTGTCGCATAGATGGGGTAACTTTTTTGAAAATTTAAAATCAAATTACAAAATTCGTTTTTTATATTTTAAAATATTTCCTGCCTGGTAATCATATTTGTAATTTACACACTTTATGCAATACCTAAACGGCATATATTTTAAGTTTCAAATATTTTAAGATTATTACTTAGGATCAAAGTATACAATTTCATAAAATTGTAAAATCAATTTATTCTTTAATTGAATATTTAAGTATTCCTAATTGTTTTAATTAGCTAATTCAAAATTTAAAACAGTTTCAAATTGATTTTTTTCAGACTGCCATTACTTTTTGAATGCTGACTCAATATGAATTTCCCATTTCCCATGCAATTCCAACAAATTCAGTGCTTTTTCTCACCGCAAATGGTTAAATCAATTAACACGAATAAATAATATCTTTGAACCAACTTTTTGGAGGCGCGGAAATGTTTCACAATGCGTGCGAATAAGAGGAAGCGAGAGAAGAAGAGGTGATGAGCCATGAAGAAGCTCCCATCATCTCTCTCTCTTTCTAGCCGCATCAGACCTTCTCTTTCTGTCCGAGGCGTTGGCTTTCGGTTTTTTTATTTGGATTTTTTGTTTTTCGGCTTTTTGGAATGG